CTGGTATTTTATGCGCGGTGTCCGAACAGACGCCAGACCAGCCGCCTTCCCGGAGCGCGAGGTACTTTCAACGAAACGCCCGGAGAAGAAGGATTTTCCGTACCTTGCATGCCGGCTTTGCACGTAAGTGTTCTGTCTCCGTCATTGTCGATTAGACTGCTCATTATGACAAAGCGGCGACGCCTGGACTACGTGGAGGAACGTCGAAGGCCAGACCACGGCTATTCGGAATCATCTCAAAACACACGATAAACTCTGGCGTGATATGGTACTCCTGAGACAGCTCAAAGGGTGGGACAGGATGGGGACTACGAACAAGGATTCGCCCTCCGGCGAGCGCGAGACTTTCTCATTGCCTGGCTTTTACGAGCGACTGGTAAAGTGGATTGCTGTAGATGATCAGGTACGCGTCATTATTCAGTCAGAGGCCTTGAGATGCACACATCACCAACATCGCCGCAGGCTTTGGAAGTTGTGGATTCCCCCGAGCTCCGAGATCTTCTCTTGTTCGTCGGGGCACAGTTAGAGGACGAAGATATTCCACATCGCACCAAGCTCGCCGGGCTCATCGCTGGAAGATTCCATGCTGAATATACCAAGATGATCAACGAGATTCAGGTGTGCACTCTAAACAATGTCTTTCGTCTAGCTCAATTTTACTCATAGAATTCAATCGGACGAGTATCATTGACGGATGATATCTGGACTCGAAAAAATCTCGATTCACATTTAGCTATCACCGGTCACTATATCATCAGGGATGCTAACGGCCATCTCGTGCTCAAAACTCAGCTTATTGCATTTCGGCGACTGAAAGGTAGCCATACTGGCGAGAATATCGGAAAGGTATTCGTTCAGGTGATGAAAGAGATCGGATGTCTCCACAAAGTATGTCCAAGTTTCATTCTCTTCAGGAGTCGATGCTGATATCTTTTCCCGAGATCTCAATGGTTACCTGCGATAACGCATCAAACAATGATACTATGATGACGGAAATAGAGCAAGAATTGCGGGCCCTCAAAATTCCCTTCGACGTTGAGGGAAATCGCATCAGGTATGTACATCTCTCGTCCTTTTTGACCCAAGTTCATGACGTTGAGGGAAATCGCATCAGGTATGTACATCTCTCGTCCTTTTTGACCCAAGTTCATGCCCGCCTAGATGTTTCCCGCACGTCGTCAATATTGCTGTGAAGGCGGGCTTAAAAGAGCTTACTGAGCTGCCTGCCTTTGACCCCGAGATCGTTCTCGACGAAGAGGATATGCCTGTCCCGCAGTCGCTGCTAGACAATCTCGAATATTGGGATGCCTTGAGGCTCGACCCGGTGGCTTCCGCGCGCAAGCTGGTCACGGCCTGCCGGGCCTCAGGTCAGCGGCGTGAGGCATTTGAGGATGTTATAAGCTCGGGAAACGAGGCCGGCGGATGGGGAGAACCTCCCGAGCTACTGCGTGTCGTTGGCTTGTTGAAGGATGTTGACACGCGATGGTCCGCAACATTTCTTATGATCGACCGTCTTCTGGAGCAATACCAGGTATGTGCAAGTGAATATTGAGCATAGATTCATACTAATGGTGCCCTCTAGACAGTAGACAAGTTCCTTGGCGACCCAAAACAAGATGAAATCGCGGGCTACGCGCTCGATGCCGTTTCGTTGCAAGTACTTCAAGATATCCGGCGGTTTTTACAAGTTCCACACATCGTGCAGGAGATCGTCTCAGCAGAGAAAACTCCGACCCTCTCCATCGTGCTTCCGATGTATGAGAAGCTGATTGTGATGCTCCGGGACCTGGCCAAGGATCTGGACGTCATAAGCCACGCAATTAATGCAACGATCAAGAAACTCGAAGAGTATCTTGGAAAGTCCCGCCGCACGAAAATGTATTCTCTCGCAATGGGTAAAAGTTTCAAGTTATCATTATTTACTTGGGCTCATTGACTTCTGGTCAGCGCTCAATCCGACAATCAAACTCAAGTGGTTGCGCGAACACTGGGATTACGACGATTACACCGCTGCTCGAGAGTCCGTTCGTGAATCTGTTCGTTATTTCCCTTTCCTCCTAAATTGGATGTCGCTGAAAGTTTTTAGATGCTGGAATATCGTAGGGCAATGCGAGCGGAAAATCAAGCAACTCCCGCCGAGATCCCCACCTCTGCTACCCGGCGTGTAGTTCAACCGCCTGCCATTTCGCACGCCGCTCGGTCCCAGGCATCTGGCCTGGCACGTTTGAATAAACTTGCCAAGTCTCTCTCGGGTTCGGACTTCGACTCCCCAGCGCCGAGTACTCCTCCTGCGGAACTGACCGAGGCTGAGAAAGAGGAAGCTGCCCGGGCTGCTGACATTGAGGACCGTCGGTTGACTGATGAGGAGCTCGATCAGTACCAAGCCGAGGGTGTCATTGCCGACGGGCACCCGGAGTTCGAGGATTTTGATCTTCTGCGCTACTGGGAGGTACGTTCACTTCATTGCATCGCCCAATATATTTCCTTACTTGTCGGAAGTCGAGACAGTATCGTTTCTCGTCGCTGTTCCGTGTTGCGATGGATGTATTGCCTGTCCAGGCTTCAGCTGTTCCCTGCGAGAGGGTTTTCTCTTCTAGCAAGGAAACTGATGCTCTACGCCGCGGAAACCTGTCACCAACCGTTATGGAGATGCTTCAAATCCTCAAATTTATCTACCGCAGCGGCCGCATCAGCTTTACGGATGGGTGGGTTGCAACTGAGGAGGAACTTTCCGTCATAGATGTCCCTACGGAGGTTCTCGAGGAAATGCTCGCAACGGGGCGAATTCAGGAGATGGTTGATCTCCTGAAATCGTCTAGCGAAGGGTGGGGTGATAGTAATGCTCGGGATTGAGCTTGCGTTCGGTATTATATCATTTTATTAATCTACCCAGTTTTCGCACGTGTACACCCTGTAATTTGCATAGAATGTAGCTTGTATTTTAGTTCACTCTAACCCAACTTTTTTCTATGTGTTCAGGTCGCATGGACGGCTCAATAGACGTTCAACGCAACTGGTGAGCCGGCGTGGGACACAAATCTCCCGATATGGACCGGATTACATCATCAGTCTCGAGGTGAACCAAGGTGAGCTTGTGGGGCCTCGAGCCTCTCGGAGTTTCAAATTAAGCGACCTTCAGCTCGCTCGGACTCACCTCGCGGCATCACTATAGATACGGTTACGTCCCCGTACCGTTGGGCGGGTTGGTTCAACCTGTAACGGTACGGGGACGGCACGGGTCAAGCCGTCGGGTCCCCGTAACCGCCCGTTTACGCGTTTACGGGCTTTTAAAAACTGGCCGCCATCGGTGCAAAATGATTTCTACAACGGCAACATTAATGTTGGTGCCTTTCGCAGTGACACGACGGGGACCTTGGGTCGCCACATGGCGGTGTTCCAGTACCTGCAGGGAGGACGGGTATGAGCGCAAATGAACTTGTAATATACTCAGGTATCAGTATTTATCCATTTAGTTACACTCAGGCACTCGCCGGCATAGTATATATTCTCGTGTGTATTTGTCAAATTGCTGATGTGGGCAATGTTTGTACGCACTCTAATTGAACAATTTCCGGTTCAACCCAAGTTCAACCACCAATTGGGCAGCCGGAAAATAATATAGGTGTGTATTTGGGTGTACAAGTTCAAATACCAATTTTGCCAGGACACATATGCAGCGGACAGACCGTGAGTTGCCTGAAATGATCTCAAATGTGTCAGTAGTAGTGCTGGTCTTGAGCGCTTAAGCCTCGGCAAAGGGCTAAAGGTCTCAAAATGGACAAATGCGGGATCCACCAAATGGGCACAGGTCTATCTTGCACCAGCGCAAAAACGTTTGGCGCCGTATATTAGCGGTTTGCCGTTGGGCATCTCGCTATTATTCTCCATGTAGTCGTTCTGCGCATATGAGGCAAGTGCAGAAACTCGTCCTATCCATGGTTCCCAAGATATAATACCCCCAGACTGTCGCACTCGGATATTCGGCGTTCTGCGACCTCTTCACCGAAGATGAGTGGAACGGCTTCTCGTATTTATTTGGTGAGTGTCCTGTATCCAATTCCTCGTCTCTGCTTATCTCAGGTCCGGGGAGATCTTATTCTGGTACAGTTTTGGCCAAGGTGCGCCGTTTGCCATCGGCTGGGTTCAGGAGCTCGTCTCGCTTCTCACGCAGACGCGGATCACCGAGTTCGACACGACGGTGAACGGGAGCATCGTCTCGAGCCCCGTCACCTTCCCATTTGGGCAGCCCATTTACGTCGACGCAGCGCGCGATACGGTCGTATCGGCCAGTGCGTCGCACTTCGCCCCTGCGAATCTTCTTTAGAAGCTGATGTGCTTTCCTCCAGTAATCACGGCGCTCAATTTCACGACACTGGCAGCGAACGGGCCCCTCCCCACTGATGCGATTCCCGCGAATCAGGTACGTACTCGTGTGCTTATGGTGGTTTTCATCCCTGACACAAACTCGCCAGACGTATTTCGCGAGCAGAATCACACCATTCGGCGCGAACCTGGTGGGCCAGGTGCTCTCGTGCCCCGCGTCCGACACGCCGACGCACATCTGCAGGGTCCTGGACGACGTGGTGGTCCCGCTCACTGGGATCGCGGACTGCAAGCACACAAGGACGGGCTTTGCGAGCTGGAGAGTTTCGTCGCAAGTATGAAGCAGCGCATTGCGGAGGTCGATTTTGCGTTTGATTGTTTTGGGAATTATACGATGCCGGACCCGGACGATATTGTAGATGGGCGGTATCCGCCGGGTTTACGAAGTTGATGCGGTTTGCTGTCAGTCATGCATAGTCAGTCAACGTTGAATGCTCTCTGAGTATGTCTCCCAGAACTACGTACTCCACAGTTCCGTCGGATCCAGCGACTCGAACAAATACACATTTCGCCAAACAAAAATCGCCGCGGCCCTCTTTTCTTGCTTTTGGGTGCTGCAATCCTCCAATCGTCAATTGATTGGATTGAAAGCAAAGGATGCAAATCACCGCCCGCAGGGTTGGATGGCCGAGCGGTCTAAGGCGCCAGACTAAGGTTCAGTTTCGTTGCGAAATCTCACTACTCGATTCTTTAATCGGATATCTGGTCATTCGTGGCGTGGGTTCGAATCCCACTCCAATCAATCTTTTTGGCCTGCCTTATTTGTGTGCACCCGAAGGAACAGGCGAGAAAATCTGAAAAACAAACCTAGAACCACGTGCATCCAACCCGCTTTGATCGGAGGTCTGCGCTGACTCAGCTGAAACAACTTTGATCTCGACTATCATCTACCAACGCCGCATATGCTGAACTAAGATCGACACACATCCTTCCTCTGTTGCTCGTGAAGACTGGTTCACACCTCGAGCGTAACTCCCTTTACATCCCCACTTCAAGCCACATTGGATCCACTCCATGAATTCGGAAATCAAGCAGGATGAATCGATCGGCCGAACACCCACACGGGTGGACGCTTTGAAAAGCAACCTCGCCACTGACTGTCGAGGTGCAGGTGGGCGCGCTGTGGTCCGTTCATAACTCACATACACCCCGGGCCTACCTGCTAAATCTAATTCACAGGATCGTCGAACTGTTACATACCGCCTGTATTTTCGATACCCTCTACATGTATAATGGCCTTAGATCTAACGATTGGTGCTACAGTAATTATTCGTATGTATGTCCTCATGGCAACGCCAACAAGCGAGGAGAGTAAACCCACGCCACCGGCCAACTGACTTGTCCCTTCAAAGTGCGACGGGCCCCTCGAAAACGGAGACGTTGTCGAGGAAGGTCCAAGCGGGCGCGGCGCCGCCGACGAACGAAAGCTCGTCGCTGCCCGTGCCGGTGACGGCCACCTGGACCAGGGTCCACTGCATGAAGCCGGTCACGCCGCCCACGCGCACGCCGTTCCAGAGGATGTCCACCTTCGCGTTCTTCTCGAGGTCCTCGCCCGAATACGTCGAGATGAAGAACGCCTGGATGACGTACTGCTTGCCCGGCACAGTAGTGAGGCTCTTCGCGGGCTTGAGCGTCCCTGCGAGGGCGTCATCGCCGAAGGCCGCGCCGAAGAGCGCGACGCTGTGGCCGGTGTACGCATACGGGACGTAGTCGAAGATGCTCGCGTCGAGGTCGCCGCCGGAGGGGCTGGTGCCGATCCAGTTGGCGTACGAGGCGGTAAAGCAGAAGTCGCCGCACGCGTAGCCTTCGAAACCACCGTCGATGACGAGGTTCTTGCGGGCGTAGCCGCGGGAGTAGGTGACTTTGAGGTCGCCTTGCCCGAAGTTGACGGCGGTGGAGTTATCGGCGACGAGGTAGTACTGCGGAAGCGGCGGGCGTAAGGAATAGCGTGCAGGACAGAGGAGAGGCACCGCACCATGGAGCAAGTGTACGTGGTGGGCAGGCCATTCACGACCGCGCGCCAGATATTGAAGTACTGGCACGCTCCGCCGACATGGTCGGCACCGCGGGTGTTGCAGAGCTGAGCGCAGGCGTCGACGTCGTACTTGTCGATGAAGGCGAAGCCCATGTACTGGACGTCAAGTTAGCATCAAGATGTAGACGAAGAGGAGGACAGGAGGAAGAGGGGGAGCAGGACTGGGGACAGACCGACGACGCATCGAAGGGAAGGGGGGCATTGCGAGAAGAAAAACAGCGCGAGAAAAGAAGTCCAGTGTGAGAAGAGCCACACGCACCCCAGGAGCGTTGTTGGCACCGTCAGTGGGCCCAAAGACGAGGTCATAACCCTCGGGAGTGTCGGGGTCAGCGAAATCGGCCGCCCAGCCACTGCTCTGGGTGATGTATGTGAGGGGCACCGTCTCGTTGCCGACCTAAGGTTAAGCGTATCAACTGCGGTTCGAGGAAATAAGGTGCGGATACGGACCTGAGGGTACGAGGCCTGTCCGCCGAAGTTGAGCTTCTCGGCGGCGGAGTGGATGTCGCCGTACGCGGCACATTTAAGGTTGGATTTCTCGGAGAAGACGAAGTCGAGGAGGTAATTATTGTACTCGTAGTGAAGGTTGACGAAGACTGGGTCAAGGAATCAGCCAAATCTGCATGGGAGCCAGAGATGAGGGGAGGGAGGATGAGGTGATGCAAGATGCAGCGCGAGGACGAGGACACGGGGGAAGCGATATTGACAAGACCGAGAAAGGAAGAGCACGCACCACATCCATCAATACCAGCACACCAATCGAGGCAAGCCTGGACATTGTAGGTCGCATTGTTCACGACGGTGTATGTCAGGTACGCCGTGCCCTCAATCGACCCGTCGTGCTGGCCAGCCGGGAGCGGGGCGAAGACTTCCACAAAGTTCGCCTGGCGCTTCCCGAACCGTCCGACATCACGGCGGCGAGTGCCGCTGGCCGCGTCGGCGATGGTGGTGTTGGTGAGCGTGCCGTCGATTGCGGTGACGGTGGTGGGAGGGACGTCGGCGTTAGGGGCTGCGTCGGGGGCGGGACCACTCTTCTGGTCGACCTGACCGGCGGTCTGGACGATGACAGCGTTGTCAGGCGTGGCCGGGGGAGGGATGTCGGTGGTGGGCGCGTCAGGAACACCCTGGTGGCCCGGTGGGACAAGGGCGGTGGCCGCTGTTGACGACAGTCAGTCAGTCAATACGGAAGTGCACGGAGAGCAACAGAACGACAACGTACAGACGAGAAGGGCAGCGAGTGCGAAAAGACGCGTTGGAGAAGGCATTAGAGGATGTAGGTGTAGGAGTTGGGAGGGAAACGAAGTCAATGCCGACTCTCTTCATCTTGGCGGCTTATAAGTGTGCGGTCATGACAAGGTAAGGATGCCGGCGAGCTATTCGCGTAGAACACGGGGCAGGGAGTGATGTACCGCCTCATGGAATCGACAGCGTAAAGCAAGTTGTTCGTGCCTGCGGCTTGACACGATATTAACGTTGTACTTTTGTCGCCAGATACTCGGGACCAGCCGAGAACGGAGGAGTAGACGTGCCGTATAGCCGGGTTCTTCGCCATATTCTCGATATCAGAGCTCGACATCAGAGCCCACGACTCAGAGGCCTCCTGGGGCCAAAGCGGGGTCCTTAGACAGGGATTAACGCAGGCTATCCCATTCCCTCGATGGGCTCAGCCATGCTTGAGACAACGGGCCGAGAGGTTCGTTAGATGGCGCTGGCAGGAAGAGGAAAATATTTGGGCATGCTTGGCAAGAGAATGTTTGGCAAGAAACTGCTTACCGTGACTCGTACGACTGGCACGTTTCTGCTCGGCTGTCGAATGCCGCCAATCCAGCTACGTCCTACGCCAGTGACTTTCGAGTACATATGGATTCTCACTGGCATGATGCACTCTGTGAGGTCACATGGCTGCATTTCACCACGGACCACCCTTGACCCAATTAAATCGTTTTATCTGTGCGCGGTGCGCCCACAGACATCTCGGCGCCTCGGTCTCGTGTTGCCCTTCCTCGACCTCCCCGAAATCCGGAAGTTATTTGGTCCATTTACATACATACATGCCGACATCGGAGCAGCGATGTCCGAAATACATTCTACTTGTGCTTTAGGGCCATTGCATGCGCATGGCATAACGAGTCCGGGACGGGTTTACATTTTACTTTGATGTCAAGAGCACGGTATTCAAGTTTTCTTCCCACGTGTCCATTTCAGTCAGGTCCTGCGTATATGACTGCCTTTTTTCGGCCACATTTTTGAAGCACAGTCATGTCTTCGACATCCGGTAGGTTCATTTCCCTAACACATCTTCTTCCGGTGGATATACCATCATGAAACCACACGTTTGAATATTTGTCGATAAATCTGCAGGTGAAGTGACTTTGTGTGCCATATATGATGCCTCTCAGGCGCAGCTTGACCAAAGAATTGTCGCAGTCGAGACCTAGTTCCTTATCGCACTTCCGAGTCTGTCGTTGTTGATGTCTATGAGCAGGATGGGTGGTAGGGTATTCAATCGAGGGACCATTACCATTTTAGATCTAATTCTCCGACTTCGACAGGATGGGCAGCTGCTCCGACCTCTTGTCAGGTACTTTGCCATCCAATTACTTATAGGCACGGGGTCTTGTCGTCCCGCTGTCGGGCTCAAACTAGCTGTCATCCACGCCTCAAACAAGTTATATTCGACTGGATCATTGAATCCGCATTTGGGACAGCTCTGTTTACCCGTCCCATAAGTTTTTTCGGGGAATAATGCAGATGCTACTCTGTCTATAGAAGTAGTATTTGGCCCGTAAGGAAAGTCCGTGGCGTTTGATTCATGCATTATTCTTCTGATAATATCTCTTGCTTGCTCTAGAGTTGAAATATTCCGCGCTACAGAATTCAAGTTCAATGCGTAACGCGCCATCATATCATTGAGTCGGCTGTAGCGTGTAGTCCACATATGGGTATCTTCGGCCCATAAGTTGTTCAATATTGTGAGGGTGGTGTCGTAAGCGTAACTATGGTCTCGGTTGTCCCACACCAAACCAACGGGCGAAAGGCTGCCATCCCGTCGTTCATTCCCTCCCTCAGGTACCTGTGGCCCACCAATTTTCTTACGTTTAGCATTCGGCTCATCCTTTACATTCCGAGGATCTGAATCGGTTGTTTTCCGTTTTTTAGTCCCTGGTACGGAAGGCCGCCAGTCGCTGTATACCACAGGGTCAGGAACTCTCGGCCCCAAAGAGGGATCCAACCTCATCGCTGGATGAAAATGCGCAGGGTCTCCGTGATTGCTTTTCCAAGCATAATAGGATCGAATCAAGCGTCGCCTGTACAGGCCCGTGACAGAAGGAGGTAGGAGTCCGGCGCATCGCAGTCGGGTTATTTCATCTAAAACTTCCAGTTCTCTCAGTTCCTGTCGTAAGTGACCTGATATCCCCCCTGTTATTTTCGCTGCATTTACACTCTGTACAATCACAGTTCCCTTGGCGGATGTTCCCCTAGAAAGCGCCACGTAGTAGGACATATGAGATTTGCAATTTGCGAGCTCGGCGACATTGATAGGTCTTGATTTGCCCTGCGAGGTATAATCCGTCATTCCAAAATTAATTAACGCAACTATCTGCTCCCTCAGCACAGACAAAAGGGTATCATCTTCCATCAGCACTGTTATGTGAGTTACAGTTCTCACCAAGGGCACTACATTGGGTGGTAAGTCGTCGATTTGGACA